TGGCCTGGAGCCCTGGGGATGAGGTGCGAGGGGTGAGCATCCCTTGGGTCACGCCACCCTGCACGGCATCCCGTGGGAAGCTCACCCCTCGCACGGCATCCCGCACGCCCCTGGAAGCACTGTGCCAGCAGGATGGGCATGCAGAAACCCCAGGGCTCAGCTTGGCATCGCTGACCACCTTGGGACCACCCTCCCCAGGGTGCCACACACCAGGGAAGGCATTCCCAGGCCAGTGGGGAGGGTGCAGGTTTGGGAGAACATGGAGAAGAGGAATGGCCCTCACCTCGGAGCCAGTCCTGGAAGTAGTGGAGCCACATTTTGGGCAGGTCGCGGTTGCCCTCCCGCACCACGTACTTGACGGTGCTGAAGGCCTGGTGCAGGCTGAGCAGGGCGGCTTGGGCACCCGGGTAGTGGAAGCCGCCCTTGGTGACGATGAACATGTTGTAGAAGGAGAAGTACTTGAACTGGGCCGAGATGAAGGCGTGCGCCTTGGTGTCCCGCGGCACGATGTCCGTCAGGTAGAGCCCGTCGTGCACCATGGTCGTGCCATAGAGGCTCAGCCCCAGCAGCGCCAGGAACAGCCCCGCCACCACCGCCTGCCGGGACAACGGGGGGGCGTCAGGCAGGGTCCCGTGCCACCCACCCGCCCCAGGTGGCACCGCCGGGGCGGTCCCCACCTCACCTTGGTCTGGGTCCGCAGGAGGAGCGGGGCGTACTTCTCCCGGGCAAAGTCAGCGAGGCTCCAGCGGCAGAAGGGGAGGGGGACGCACTCCCGCCCACCCTTGGCCTCATCCAGCTGGGCCAGCAGATCCCGGGTGGAGCTGGACGGGGTGAAGACCTGCGAGCCCAGGGGATCGGTGGGGGGCAGGAGGACGGCAGGTGATGTGCACACCTGGGAGGTGGGCGGCAGGACGGTGACCACATGGTGGCCCGAGGGGTCACACCGGGTGAAGGCTTGCACGGTGGTGGTGATCTGGGTGCTGGTGGCCATGCCAGGGTGCCCGTAAGGGGAGGGGTGGCAGGTGTGGTTGTCGTTGGCATCGGCGAGCTCCTGGGGTTGGATCTGGATGACCCGCGAGGAGCAAGGGCTGCGGGGAGAGGAAAGGAAGAGATGTTTAGGGAGAGAAAACAGAGCTACCCCTTGCTTCTGGGGGGATCTGTGGGGTCAGCTCCATCCCGGCCAGCCCGGCACCAGTACCTGTAGAAGCAGCAGAGGATGTCCAGACGGCGTTTCTCCCGGCGGTGCAGGTCCAGGCTCAGGATGGCAGGGAAGACGAATAGCACCATGGCAAAGTTGAACACCACGACCACTGCAGCCTGTGGGCAGAGTGACGTGTCAGAGACAGGTCCCTTCCCACCCCTTCCTGCCCTCCCTAGAGAGGGACCCCAGCCGAACCTGGAGGGAGAAGGCGCGCAGGGCAGGGATGGGCACCAGGGCTGCCATGAAGAAGGCGATCATGTTGCTGACGGAGGTGAGAGCCACGCTGGTCCCCATGCGCTTCAGGCACTCCCCCGTACGCTCCTGCAGGGACAGAGGGAGGAGGTGACGAGAGGGGCTGCGGGGAGGAGGAGGGGACCAGGCAACCCCCAGGCAAGGCTCGGCGCTCACCTTAAAGGGGATGTGCTGGCTGGTCTCAGTGAAGGCATGAGCCAAGAGGAACATGTCATCCACACCGATGCCAAGGGCCAGGAAGGGCAGGACCTGACGGAGAGCAGATGGTGTCAGTGGGGGGACACGGCCACCTCACAGTCCCCAGGGTCCCACCAGCCCCCCATGGCACCCGGCTCTTCCCCCAACACATACCTGGGTGGTGGCTGCATTGAAGGAGATGCCCAGCAGTGAGCAAAGCCCCAGGCCAGAGGCCACGGAGAGAGCCACAAGCAGGACCCCGGCCAGGCCCACAGCCCCTTGGGACTTGGAGCAGTCCCACCGCAGCATAGTGACACAGGCGTAGGCCAGCTGGAAGAGTGCGTCAGGTTAGTGGGGATGGGGGCGGGGGGCGAGAGAGGGATGGCAGGGGACAGAGAGGGAGCACACGCACCATGAGGAGGTAGCCCCCGGCTACCCGGATGGCGCTGACATCAGAGAAGGACTTCATGATGTCGTTGAGGGTGGTGGTGGAGAAAGCGTGGACGCTCTGCGTGGCATTGGGTGGGATGGAGTCCTGTGCCAGCTGCCAGAGATGCACCCCATTAGAAGAGTCAGGACCACCCCCACTGCTCGGTACATCCCCCAGAGCCACCCAGGGTGTCAGCATTCCTAGGGACTGGACCACAGGAAAGCGGTGCCAGGACCCGTGGACACACGAAAACCTGGGCACGGGGGGGATGCCACGCACAGGCTCCCCCCTGCCCAGCCCCACGTGGGAGCTGTGCCCACTGCCCACCTCCACAAATTTCCTCTGCCAGGCCTCCAGGATGGCACCCGCCTTCTCCTCGCTCCAGCTGATGTCATGGATCTCATAGTCATCCTTGAAGTGCTCGAAGAGCTGTCGGGGGCTCATCAGGAGGAACATGGTCTGCAGGGCTTCGGCGCTGAGGAACAGGCACGCATCTTGCTGGGACCGGCTGCAGTGCCCCAGGATGCGGGAATGGGTCCCTCCCCCATCCCACAGCTCCCAGCCCCACCGTGGACACTTGGGAGAGGACCCAGGCACCCTGCCCCCCGTTCCCCTGCCTCGCTCCGAAGCACTGCCCTGCTCACCAGCCCCATAGCGCCTCGCCAGTCCCATAGGCTCGCCAGCCTCACACACTCTCCCACACAGCCCTGTGGACCCTCTTGCAGCCAGGGCGGGTTCCCATGGGCACCAGACGAGGGGACCCTGCCCCAAACTGTCCCGAGGTGAGTGCCACAGTTGGGACACTCTCTGGGGACACCCGTGCCGTGGTGGCTCTCACCGTAGCAGCTTGCCCTGGGAATCTTTGGTCGTGCCACCCAAAATCAGCTCCTCCTGCCAGCGCATGAACTTCCTGGAGAAGCCGTGGCAGCCCCCTGAGAGCTCGGCTGGGATGTCGGGGTTCTGCGGGCAGAGGGAAGGCATCAGGGATGTGGGACAATGGGGCGGGCAGGAGCGCAGCAAGCCTCCACACCCCTTCTGGTCCCCACGAGCTGTGACCAACCTGCTGGCTCTGCTTGTTGGGAGCGCTGGGGGGGCACTGGGGGTCACGGGGGTCCAGGCAGGGCCGCTCCATGTAAGCCTGCCCCACCTCTGCCTTATCCAGCAGCTCTTTGAAGCCTTCCAGGGACGTGAACTGCCCCAGCTCCTCCATCAGCTGCAGAGGGTCCAGATTGCTCCACTGGATGTCCGGGCGGCCCCTGGGAAGAGACAGGCACCGAGGTGACGGGGGTTGCCGAAACCCACATTCTCGGTACCACCACCACTCCATCCCATGCGTAGGGCTGTGCCTGTGGGCCCCGGGGGTGCCCTCGAAGGCAGAGCGCGAGGATGCAGAAGAGCAGCGAGAGTCCCCAGCGCATCCCCTAACCCTCGCTGGGGCTGCCTGCGGCAACCCCCATGACCTGGACAGCGCGGAGG